ATCAAAATGACAGGAATCAATACACATCTTTCATTAGTAACTTTAAATATCAATGGACTGACCTCCCCAGTCAAAAGACACTAGCTAGTTGAATGGATTAAGAAACAAAACCCATCTTCTTGTTCTTTGCAAGAAACCCATCTCACTTTCAAGGACGGGCCTTACCTTAAGGTGAAACAGGATGGAAAAAAATATTCCAAGCAAATGGTACTAAGAAAAAAAGCAGGAGTTGCAACTCTAATATCTGCCAAAATACACTTCAAACTAAAACTAATCAGAAGAGAAAAAGAGGGCCACTTCATTCTGATCAAAGGAACAACTGACCAAGAATGTATTACAATGAACATATATTCACCAAACTCTGGTGCACCCAACTACATAAAAACAGTACTACAGGACTTTAAGACCCAGATTAATCCGAACTCAATAATAGTAGGGGACTTTAATACCCCATTGTCTCCATTAGATAGGTCAACAGGACAGAGAATTAACAGAGACATCTGGATTAAACAATACCATACATCAAATGGACCTAACAGGTATCTACCAAATATTCCACCTAAATACCAAATAATATACTTTCTATTTAGTGCCCCATGGAACTTTCTCCAAAATCGACCACATACTGGGGCACAAAACAAGCCTCAACAAATACAAAAAGATTGAATAATTCCATGCATTCTACCAGACCACAGTGTGATAAAGTTTAAAATCAACACTGGAAGAAACCCTAGTAATGACATGAACACATGGAGATTAAAAAACAAACTCCTGAGTGATGAATGGTGGAGAAATTAAGAAAGAAATAAAAGTATTCCTGGAGCTAAATAAAAAGGACAGTACAACACAACAAAATCTCTGGGACACCTTGAAAGCAGTCCTTAGAGGGAAGTTTATAGCTCTAAGTGCCTACATTAAAAAATCAGAAAGAATACAAATAAATGACAACATTGCAACTCAAGATGCTTGAAAAGCAACAACAAATGAAATCCAAACCTAGCAGACAAGAAAAAATAACACAAATCAGAGCAGAAATTAATGAAATAGAAACAAAGAAACAATACAAAGAATCAACGAATCCAAGAGCTGGTTCTTTGAAAAGATAACCAAGATTGACAAACCCATAGCCCAGTTAACCAAAAGAAAGAAAAAGCACCTGCAAATCAACAGAATTAGAGATGAAAGGGGAAACATCACAACAGACACCAAAAAGATCCAGACCATTACAAGGGAATTCTTTAAAAACCTATACGCCACTAAATTTGAAAACCTAAAAGAAATGGATAGGTATCTAAAAGCATGGGAACCACTAAAACTAAACCAAGAGGAGATCAATAGCTTAAACGACCCACAACACATAAGGAAATTGAAACAGTAATACAAAACCTCCTGACTAAAAAAAAGCCCAGGACCAGATGGATTTATAGCAGGATTCTACCAGACACTTAAAGAAGGTCTAAATCCAATACTGTTTAATTCATTCAAAAAGATAGAAATGGAGGGAGAACTTCCAAATTCCTTC